AGTATCTATTGGTTGGAGTTCAGCCACATTGCTACTTCCAGATGCAATTCATTTGATTGGTTCCCTCGGCTTTTGCTAATTGGTGACAGGTTGAAAATATCTTTCCCCGAGAAACTTGGAATAAGATATTGAAATGGAGGTTGGGGTTCAGTGGAATTACTTAAAGGGTTGCTTGATAAATTTAGTCTAAGACCAAAACTGCCTTCATTGGCTTTCAACAAATTCCTATATTGTCCATCCTATAGTCTTTTGTTTGACATGTCCTCTGGCCTTTTTCTCATAAATTCTATCTTGGAAGCCTATCTTTCCACAGTAATAGCACAAATTGACCAACTTTTCGTACTGGAAACACCACCACTTATGTTCCTGGATTTTCATAGTAGCACATCTTGATATAGGCTCTGTCACATCCAGTGTAACCAGAAGAAAAATAAAACTGCCCATGTGACCACCTGTTTTAATCTAACCATGATTTTTAGCTTCTTAAAAGTTCGTCCAATTTTGACTCCTACTTATGCACATAACCAATTTTGAGGTACATTGTTCACCTGGACCCATAAATCGATCTCGTTGAAATTCGCATGTTGTTCGTTCAATCCATCTTCCCATTAGTGTAGGACTAAGTATTGATTTTCGAAAATCTAGTTAATGCATGATGCAGCTTTTTCTTATCATCAAGATTTCTAAGATAAACTAGAAAAAGTTGAGCCCCATCTCCGCACCTTGACCGAATGTTAAATCTGCCAAATTAGTGCCCATTGTTCTCTTGGCGCCAATCAAGTTAGCTTTTCGATCTCCAATTACTTTCCCAAATAGACTTCCGTTACACTAAAAGTTAATTTGTCCATTTTCTTGCTAAGATCAAAGAAGATGGAGAAAGATTATTATAAATCCCCATCTAAAAGTTAATTTGTCCATTTTCTTATCTAGTGCAACAAATAACAACATTTGATATCTCAACGATATCCCAACAGTTCAATCAAGACAATAAAAGTAACTTAATTTTATCTCATCCCATGAAAGGCCTGGCTGGCTGGCTCGCCACAACCACATGATGAGCACGAAAAAAGGCCCCACAAAATATTTACAGCAAAACCTCGTTTTTATAACAAATTATATTTTTAGCCCTCACAAAAACCAATAAACACATAAAACTCTCACCACCAGAACCTCCTATAAATGAACTCATCCTCAAACCCTACACTCACACAAACACACACACACACACAC